AGTAAAGTGTGAGACATATTACAGATATTGACTAGATTTAGGAGGAGTTCTCACTATTCTGCAGTGTATGTATGATTTTTTTTGTTAAAAATGAAAGTAGTAGCATAGCTGAGTCACTTGAGAAAAATATGATGAAACATGGTGCACTCACGCTGCTGTGAATCACCCTGTACAGCTTAAAATATTCATTCGAAAGTCAGAGATGTCAGGCTGGACTTCGGACATCACAGGTTTTTTCTGGACTCGTAAGGCTCAAAAGGCGGTTTGGCTGAATGGCCTAGATACCAAAGTAGCGGGGCGTAGCTCACAGTGTTAAACAGAGTAGTGACAGGCAGGGATGGGAGGGTTACTTTAAAAATGGGAGATAATTGGGTTAAAAACCCAAAAAAATGTAACTTGTAACCTAATCCAAAGGATTGTTATATTAAAGTAATATAATCCAATTACTTTAAGCTACTTTTGGATTACTTTTCGTTTAAAAGTAATTTATTTAAAAGTTATTAAATAAATGTATTAATGAATTTATTTATTATTTTTAAATATCCTTTGCTTCTCACAAAAAAGGCAAAGCCACTGTATTGTGTTACTGCCTAAGTCCGATGATAGCAATTGATAAAACCATGTAAGGTTTGATTCCCTGTCGAAGCAGATATGCCACTGCTATACCAGTAAGAGTCAGGCTAGACTTCTAATGCTATATTCACCTACTGCTCGTAGGCTACTTTACATCTTGGAAAAGCGAAAGACAAAGCGCACAGAAAGACTGGAGCGAGTTCATGTCACCTGCAAAAGCTTGCAAAAATCGAACAAAGGGGGGAAATAAAATAGTTCTATTTTTGTCATCTGAAAAATGGCGTTGCTGTGCAAAAGTTGTTTCAAAGTAAACCTGCTAGTAATCCTATTTTCATAATGCATCTGCAATCTGATTGTTAAATTTTTTCTATAACTGTAATGAAATACAGTTCATTTTTAGATGCGAAGCACTTCACTGACCTGGCTTGTAATTCACACACTCACTCAATCATGTTTAGCAAGCTGAAAACTATCCACAAGGGGGCACCATTAACAGTAAAATGTTTTTTGAAACTTCATAAGAGCTGTGCTTTGCATCAGTGACACTACATGTTCTTCTTTTTTTGTATCCTGATTGTGTAACAATGTTACATGTACTGTGTTCCTACCCAGGTCTGGTGATTGTGTAGTGGATAACACCATGGAAGGTTCAAATCCCTTCTGAAGTATGAGCCGTACATTGCTTGCAATTATGTTTCCACCAGGGAGGGCTCCAAATCCCCAAACTTACATAGTGTTGTTTTAGTAGATTACAATAAGATTACAAATATTATTTTATGTTATGATCTTATGAGGTCAATTTGGAAAGATTAGAACTTGAATTTTATTAAAAATGTCTGATTTTTTCAGGGTTGCATTAGTGCAGTGTTGCATGCATGCTGTTATCAGGAGCACAGGCCAAGCTTTTTAGCTGCTTAATGAACATAATCCTGCAGCAGGCCGCACACGAGCACTGATGGGGGAGGATTTGTGATGGCCATGTTGCACTTTAGGGACTGTATGCATGGCCTGCTTGGAGTGAAAGTGATTTCCTGCTATCTGAAGATCATTTGAACAGGACACATTGGGTAAACTGCATGAATCAGTTGGTTAGAATGAAATTTTAATGTCATGGCAAGCATTTCATGTTTATGAACAGGAAATTCTGGTCTTTGCAGTTGGAGCGTGGTGTAAACTAAATATTACAGAAACCTAGAATGGAATATACTTTAACTGGATGTGTTATGTGTAAAGTATACTGGTGGTGAATGAAACTGCAGAGATGTTTAAGTGCAAAAAGCATGCAATCATGCTCCTCTAATTGTCTGGCTCATATGATTAGTTATTGTTACGGCCAACAATGTAAGCTAGCCAGCGAGCACTCAGTGTATTACATTTTAATTCATGCAGTATTAAGATTAATTATAAAGAAAAACAATGGCATTAATTAGCTGTCAGATGTCTCTGCTGGTTCAAAAACACTTCACAACATGAATGACAGACACTTTTTGAGCCACTGATGAAACCTTAGCCTACTGAGGCACTGGTAGTGCACCGGGGCCACAGTTTCAGGCCTCTGTAAAATTTCTAGGGTAATATATTAGAAAATGTTACATTCCCTTTCATTTTACTCATTTAGATTGACTGCAATCAGTTCAGATCAAGCAAGAAATGCCTGGTGTCTATAGCTCGCTCCTTTAGTATAATGTCAAGAAACAGAAGCTTACACCAGTTAGCATAGTGCAAAACTTCATGCCTAAATTGCCTCACAGCCTAAACTGTTGAGGACCCCCTGAGCTCCTCTTATAAGTAACGTTACTGGTATTTTTATTTTTCAAAACGCACATAACTCATTTTTACATGACCATTTTCCAACCTCTCTTCATCCTTTAACATCAGTGTGAATGGGCAGAGCTAAAGTGCTACAGGCTGAATAGTCGGTGACTTGCCTTCTGTTACGGGCCTTTTAAAAGGTGTGTACTACATAATATAAATGATATTTTTTGTTTTCTATTGCAAGAATGTATTGAGCTTCACCAGCTCAAATTACATACAAATGAGTGTTGTTGTTATGGCAATCGAATATGTAACTTGAAGACGTGAATATAGAAAACTAAACCCAATGCTCTTTCAGTGCAGAGAATAGAGAGGAAATTCTGCACTGGAGAAATGCCTTTGTGAGCCCTCAGCATTAGGCTGTTGAGCTGCTCGGTAACTGCATGAGGCGAACGCCACGTGGAAGAAAGAGCGGTTGTGAAGGATGAGCTGCAGCACAGCCATATTGCAGGGGTGCGGAAATTGAACGTGTGACTTCATACCTAATTTAAAATGTGATGAAGCGGCAACCAAACAGCAGGACAATCAGTTCATTTACTTCCCTCTACTTTCCCGCTAAAAATCAATTATTTATTTTATGCGAGGTGCGGATTTATGGGAATTGCAATATAAAGACGTGGATCAGAGAGCCAATTCAGACTCCCTCCGAACGGCCGTCTCTCATTTAGATTCACAAGGAGAGGGCGATTTTCCGATTAAAATTGCATGCTCTCCCTGTGGGAGTGTCTAATCAGCTATTATAGTATCTTTGTGTCTATTAGGGCTGCAGCGATGTTAAATTGTGGCCTTTTGCATGCTGCATGCTCTTCCCGGCGCATATCCTTATCTGCATAACAGATGACGAACTTTTTTTAGCCCTCCACAATCTCCGGTCTGAGACAGATTATGCAAAAACCACTCGCAGGCCAAGGTAATCGAGAATCGCTCGGGCAACGGGTCGGCAGCCTGAACCGACAGTTTCTTCAAGTCTGCCGCTGTACTTTGCACATCGTGATGGCTGATGACGCTAGTGTGGGTGAGTGTCTCACGGCTGCAGAGGATGTGTGTGCATGTAGAGAAGTGTGATTCTTCACCAGATCTTACAGCAGCCGTGCGATAATTAAGGCAGTGCAATGCATTTTTAACAGGAGCAAGTGGCAGGCTAGCAGGGGGCCTTGCTAAAGCCTCATTGCTAAAGCCTTGCTAGTGCCTGACAGTCACCCCCTCTGGCCCCAGCTCCTTCGGCCTTAGGATGAAGGCCTCCCTCTTATGCGGCTCATACTTAGTGGGAAAAGAAATAAGCTAAGGCTCTATAAACCTTTGACCAGTAAACACTTTAGATCAGATTCAAGTAGCTTCTCATTAGCAAGTTCATGAAAACACAGTCTGCTTTATGTATATCGTATAATTAGCTTTGTAATGCATCTAAATGGAAGTTTTTAGTAGAAACTGACGTCCAACAGAAAAAACATTTTTAAGACATGCTGGCTTCCATACAGGCATGAGGGCTTTAATCAGTCCTGAATTTTTTTTTTTACCAAATCTGAATATAGCCCGTGAACATTCCTAACTTGACCCAATCCTGACCAGAACCAACTAAGGGATGCACAATGATACTGGAATCATATGATTATCTTCATTACCGGCATTGGATAGATATATAGGTTTGACGTTTTAAACTGATACTTGTTATTGCATATGTATTTTTTGTACTCCAGAAGAATGGACAGTTTAGGTGGTGCTGGGCTACTTAAATATCATTCATTGATTTTACTGCATTTGCAGCCCATCAGAAATAAATAATAAATCACTCTGTAATCTTAATCCAGGTAGACTGAGTAGTCTCAATTTCTACTTTTTCTAAATGTTTATATATCAGCATGGGTAGATATGCCCATGAAAAATAATGACTATTGGCAACGGCCTACAAATCAGCATCCCTAAACCAAACAAAACACCACATTCCAAAAGTGCAGGTTCATTCCTAATCATTTCAAAGGATTCCTAATGACTTTGCACTCCACAAACCCAGTAGGTTCACTGTTACTGTGCACTATGTCGAATTATTTCTGAAATGTTCTTTTGGATGCACTAAACTCTATATTTTTGAATAGATTTGCTGTTGAACTTCAACTTGCATCCATTTTTGCTCAAGCATCGAGTCCCAAAACTGACAAATATATAAGAATGATGTGGAAATCTAACAAAAACGGCCAGGTCCTGTCAGGTTCAGACAAATGGTTAAAGCTATCATAGGAGCTAGGGCAAATACATTATTAGTAGAGATAAGCAATAGTTTGATATTTTATTGATATTGTGATATATTTTATTATTGTGATAAATAATACTTTTCTTAGCATATTGTTGAAACCTGAACAAGTGTTTGTTTCATTAAAAAGATAACATAACTAGTCCTATTTATTGGATTTGGTGCAGTACAAAATGTGATACATTGAAAAAAGGCATGGCAGTTCTTAATGTGCATTGTGCCTGTGTGTCAAAATATCATGATACGCATGGTGAATTGTGAAAAAGTTTAGTGATATGATATTTTCGCCATATTGCCCACACCTTAACCATGGAAAACGACAGAAGATCGAACTCATTGACTAAGCTATGATGTCCAAACTCACCAGCATACTCTGGGTCCACATGAGGAGGATAGAAGCGGAAGTTGATGAAAAAGGGAATAGGCACTCCGAACTTGAACCACTCCACCACGTAGGGGGTCTGCTGGCCGTTGAGGGGGTGGCTCACATCACATCCCAGAACTACGCTCTCTCCTGCACGGGCCGTCACAAACTGGGGCTCCTCTCTCACTCCGTGGGCACCTACAGGCAAGCAGACACACATTAAGGGGCTGAATGATGGCACACCAGATGTCTTAGATGTCACAAATGTTGAAACATCCCAGAATAAAGTGAACATTTTTCAATTTAACATTAAAAATGAATGGAGTCAATCATCCAGGGACAGCTTTTGAACTCCACTTTGGGCTTTTTTTTAAACGAAGCCAGACATTTGGAATTTACTCCAACATGGACACACGGTATCAGTAATGCAAGGCACTGCTCTTATGAAGCATCATGAAGCTATTTGGCGGCTAATGGTGCCACCTTGTGGAGAACTGTCAGCCTGCTTACCATGAATGAGCGAGTGAGTCAGTGAGTTAGTTATAAGCCAGTCCCACAAGGTGCTCTGCATCGAAAAATGATCCAGATTCAGGATTAGCTATTTAGGAAAATTGTTGTTGACAGTTTCCCAAATACTTAAGTAGCACTCATAGACCCTGATACATTTTCATTTTAAAATGAAACAGCAGATAAAAGTTACACAGCATTAACGAGATGACAATCAGCTAGTCCTGCCAGCACATTGATCACTGCTACTTCACACTTGAATGGATTTTACAATAAGGGAGCCAGAGTTTTAGCCAATCAATGCTCAGGCCCATCACACGCCTATGAGTGACCTATCGGAACTCTAAAGGTCATTGTACCTGCCTCAGCAAAAAATATACTTAAGAATGGATTTTCCCCCCTTGGCTCCACTACGGGCATTGAGCACTTTCCCCTCTATCAGAGTTAGCATGGCTTCATCGCCTCAATGAAGGGGAAAATCACCTCCGGAATCATAAAACCTGCTGATGGTGCATTTTCCACCTCTGAGACACTGTGTGGAAAGCTAAGTGGCTCAGTAACAGTGAAAACTTCTCAATACGAACCACAAAAAGAAAGCTATAATGTGTCTTTAGGAACAATGAAAAAGTTCCATTTTTCCCATCACCAGAACTTTAGAAGTTCTAAAGCAAAGCCAGATGAATTCCATCCATACCCCAATGAAAAAATGTTTTCTATTGTATTTACAGGGTTCTCTGCATTAAAACAGCATCTATTTCCACATAGCACTCCTATGCATCAGTTAGTGATTGTATTTACCAGTTTAATCTGCTTTATCCGGTGGAAGAGTTAATCCACTTTATTTGATTTAGCCAGCACAGCTTTTGGGCTGAAACAGAGCAGATTTAATCAAATTATGCTTTTTTTAAAAAAAAAGTGGGGCCCAGGGCTGTCCAGCCATGGGGCCAGGCCCTGAAATCCTCTCGGCTATTGTGAGAGCAAAAGGGTGTAATTGTGGGCCACGCGAAGGGGTGGTTTTAGGTTTAATAAAAGGCCAACTGGGCATGTGCTGCACACTTTTCTAAACCCAGCAGATCCTGCACATGACCGGCCCTGCACAGGCTTACACCCTCTCTCCATGAAAGCCTTTCAGCAACACACGCACAGGATGTAGGTCAAGGAGCTGCAGGTTTACACTTGTTAGTGAAGATATTGTACACTCTAATTGGAGCCTCATTAGAAAATGTTAGCAGAGCCATTTATTACACATAGATTATTCTTAACAAGGAATATTGTATGTTTGGAGCTGCTACGAAGGCAACTGTACATGAAAAAAAGCATTATAATTTATTGAGGGTGCATCAGAGGGTGGAAATTTAAAGCAAGAGCAGAACCAGGGAAGGAAATCATTTTTAAGGGACATTTTTGCCCTCAGTGACTGAAATTTAAAGACTTTTTATACACCAATGGAGACACTTTGCGTAATATACATTATATTTGAACTAAATCAAAAAATTTATTGGCAATTTAATTTCAACATTTAGTTAACATTAGCCAGTTGGTTGTCAGCTAAGTTAACTCATTCATAAACAATCACCAAATGTAATACCATCAGTACTTGCAAAGTATTCTGCCAACACCCATTTCATTCTCAATCCAATCTAACTCAATTTTTTAAAGGTAGACAACATGACTCATTTAATGTTAGCAGTTTTGGCCTTTGGTGGTGGTGACGGTGCTCACAACAGCTTTCAATGTTATTTATATGAGACTTTGAAACACTGATGACACAAAAAACGATTAACAAGAAAGTTTATTTATACTCCACACAGGTAAAAGCATTATAAATGCTGCTAAATTGCATTGCGTCACAAAGCCTTCAGGATGGCTCAGTACACACCAAGCCAACTGTTGGCTGTTGGATGCCGTCAGGCCATTTGTGAGTGTCGGTGGCTGACCGTTGCCTGTAGTCAGTATGGTGTGTACAGCACCACTGGTGCTTGTAGGTTCTTGTCAGCACTTTTTTGGATGATTGAGCATGTTGAATTGGTGTTGGCCGTATGCCAAAAGAGAGGATGTTTGAAAAATTCAAGCAAGAAGCAGCACAAGAAAACGGCACTCTCAAGAGGACACACACAGAAAATAGCCTAACTTTTTAATGTCAGCTATTTGACATAATCATAATGCGAACACACATTAAAATTCACTGTTTAATGTATAAATGTTAATTTTTCACCTTTTTAACGACCCAGCATTGCCAACGATAGTTAATATTCACTTTCACACACCTTAACCACGTAAGTTAAGATAACCCCATCAAACATAGATATGTAGCTAATACTTACGTCTACAATCACAATGACATTTGATAGTGTAGTTAATGGTACAAAAGACATAATATCGCTGACCCTTCCACAAACGAAATAAAGTTAATTATTTGATTCCAGGGATATTAGGGATTCTTGTGATGTGTAGGCTGATGCAGTATTTACAAACAAATTATAGATGCCTGGATACATTATTGCGAACAATAACACACATTTGGGGCTTAAGTATAACTTATCAACACCTCCAGTCAGACTGACTTTTTCTTAACATCTTGATTAGGAATTCATAGCCGGCACTGACTACTTACACAGAATGCGTTAAATGCTTAAAAAACATCCTAACATGATAGATATGTGGGACTAAATAAAAATACAAATAATCTTTATTATTGGTATGCTGGCTGAATGCTTTTGTGCCGTTGTTTGTTATCGATTTGTCAATAGAAACCTGAACCTGCTGAGGAGAAACACTTCAGTCAGAGGATCCTATTTATAGCCTACACATATTACTCACGCCAATAAAGTCATTTCATTACAACTTTTTAATTACGTTTACACTGAGAGTTGGATACAGGCAGCAAATCATAAAGCAATGGTGTTCCATAGCAAAGTTTCATGTAGAAATCTGTTTGTTAAATGCTCCTTGTGTGTTATGGTATGTTAGCATCCACCTCGCAGGGATAGCTTGGTACTCTATTGGATTTTGAAGTCAGCTCTAATTTAAATACAAACATTTTAATCTGGTGACAGGCACACAAGTACCATTCTTAACTCTCTATGTCTCAGTTTGTAAGTAAATCCTTCTTTAAAGGCTTGAGGTTGTCTTTTACGATAGTGGCATTAGCCTGTTAACTGGTTGGCTTTCTGCCACCTGCTCAGTCTACTCTAATACAGGCAGAATATTTCCAATATAAGAGGATATAAAGTGTACACCAGTTAAAGAGAGTCTTTTTATGCTTATAACATTGCAGAGACACTTCAGAGACATTTAATGGGACAAAATGACAAAAAGTAAGCAACATTTTCATTCCCTAACCAGATATTTCAGCTATAGCCTTGAAACACAGTGGTCACATGAAAAAAAAAGGTGGACAGAGAGTTGTTCCCTTTCACACAGACATGTTCAGAAAGTGTGTGTAGGCTGTCAGCTGTACTCACTGCAGTGTGTTCAAGTGAAACTTTTGAGAGGAGACATTGTGGCGAGCTGACAGAAGCTTATCATCAGCTGGACATTGTTGGTGCAAGTTCTTGACATCTGTTTTTGGCTAGTTTAGCCATGGTTTCATGACAGGCAGCTTGCTTAACCACAGCATTTGTTGAGGTGGAACATAGAAAACAGAAAGACGGCATATGTCAAATCCGCCCCCCTGCTGCTCACAGCTGGTGTAGACTAATTAATCAATATTCTAATGGAATCAATAGAATGGTTAGAGTATTGTTGGTCGCGCTGACTGCTGTTAGGATGAGATGTTATTTGTGATTATTTGTTTGTAAACTTGTACCTTTGCTGTGGCTGTTGGAGGGCACGTGCTACCATGAGCCTTTACGTGGTTATCTACCCAGCCACACCTTCACAGTCTCAGGCACTAGCTCCAGCCAGTTGCAGTATGCTAGAATATTGTATGTTCGTTCATATTCACATATTACATTTGTAGCACATTGTTGTGGGGGCATTTTACCACTGTGTTTTAAGGGCCAAAAAAAGTTGAATATAGGTGAGATTTTGCAGGTTGCCCTGTAAGCAGAAGTGTAGGAAGCCTCTGCATGAGACTCTGAATGAGAGTACAGAAGGCCGAGTAGGTCAGTGGAGCTTCAGTATTCCAGTGGCTGCTGCCTCACTCGTAGGAGCACTCACCTTTTAATCCACTTTAGCCCGCTCGTGCTCCCACAGGCACAACAAAGTCACATGAACCCTTCAGCACACATCCACACACCCATCACTCACACTGCACATTTGCACTGCGAAAACGTGCCCGCTACAACCAGAGCAGGGCAGCATGTATATCTCATCCCCCCAGGGCCTGAATTGCTTTGTCCTATTTGCTCCTGTGGGACACTGAATTACAGCAAATATGCACTCTGCCTCAGTTCAAGCACAGACTGTCATTGCCTGCATCATAACGCCCTTCTTCTGAAAGTCTGTATACAGACACTGAGACAATTTCTGTACATATATTGTGAGGCAGTTTAGTTTGGGCTACGTACTCCAGAATATTGGATTTGAAATAAAACAATCACTTTTTCAGCTTAAAGTTGAGGTTATTTGTATAGGGGTGAAATGTTAAAGCAATGTCCTTTATATATAGCCCTATTTTAGAAGAAAATAAGTAATTAGACAAATTACCATGATCTCAGGGTGCATTTATACTTGCAGTTCAGTTCACT